ACTGGTTTAAAAAATTTTTTTTTTTAAACATTACTTTGCTGATTAATTGCTGCAGTTAGTACAGTTGCATGGGAAACACTATATCTGCTTCCAAAAGCGTGTCTGGTGTGTGTAGAGATGGCGGGAGGTCTCCGGGTCTGGCTGAAGGTAAGCACTGGCAGAGCACACAAAGCTTTCAGGCTAAATCAAGAACGATCTGTCCTGCCAAAGAACCAGAAATGTGAGCAGCCCTTTGGTTCTTCTGAGCAGGCTCACCCATGTAGCTGCCCTCTCTACGGGCTCTACAGGCCAACAAAACCACAGAGAGAACATCATTTCACCAAGTTTAATGTAATTAATGTTTCACATATTAACTGAATGAAGTGTTCATATTCATCTGGATGAAGATTCTGCCTGTAGCGACCTCAAATGAAAGCGGGGAGACAAACAAACACACACGAGGAGCCAGTGGTGTGGAGAAGATATAATCCAGGATGAGAGGTCAGAAGGTCACTGCACACACGCAAATACTACGGTACGTTCAGCTGCTGTCCTGATCTTACGGCATTCAATGATAACACTGCTGTCTGTATGAACAGTCACTTGTCCTAACATAACTTTAAAGGGATAGTTCACCCAAAAATTAAAATGACCCATGATTTACTCACCCTCAAGCCATCCTAGGTGTATATGAGACTTTCTTCTTTTGGACGAATACAATCGGAGTTATAATTAAAAATGTCCTGGCTCTTCCAGGCTTTATACTGGCAGTGAATGGGTGTTAATATTCAATAGTCCAATAAACTGCGCCAATACATCATAAAAAGTGCTCCACACAGCTCCGGGGGTTAATAAAAGCCTCCTGAAGCGAATCAATGCATTTTTGTAAGAATAATATCCATATTTAAAACTATAAACTGTAATCTCTAGCTTCTGCTAACTGTATGCGCGATTTTATTTGTAATGGAGAGGAACCCGTGGGGCATGTTTCTGTCAACCTAACGATGTCTATCATACCCTCCTTTACCTTGTTTCTTCGTGAATTTGTACTTAAAAGTAGAAAGACGGAAAACTTGTGCTCCTCTTTGTCAAAGTAGACACCATTTAATGCGGTCCTGATTTACAATTGTGTTCATCAATTCTTCCATTTTAAATTGTTCACTTTTATTTCCATGTTAGTAAGCGTGTCTTATGATGTTGATAATTTCCCGGTCTCGTAATATAAAAGAATACCACTGTGGTTCTCAAACAGGGGTCCGGGACCCACTAGGGGCCACAAGATTACTTAAAATTATCGAAAAAAAATACAAAATGTTTAAAATAAGCAAAAGAAGCTAAAAAAAATCAAGTAGTATGCTGAAATAATATTTCTTATTTTAATTTGATCCTTTAACAACTATCATTATTATTTCAATTAATTGAATTCAATCCATTTAATTTAATTCATTTTTATCTTGGACAGCCTTGATATACTGCATGTGGGAATTGTAAAAGTGTGAATTCAAGATAAGGAAAGGTCATGGAAATCAATACAAAAAGTCATTAAAATTTTATGATAAATATCGTATTCTATAATAATTTATATTTTGATTGCGAGTAAAAACACTACATTTAAAAAATTAAACAAACTGAATATCATATTCTATATTTTATCAAGTAGAAATGGCTACTTGAGTAAAAACTAGAGATGCACCGATCGATCGGCCAGGGAGCAGTGATCGGTCGGTCAGTCTCACTTCTTTCCGATTCCGAGCCGATCCGTTTTGTTACCAGCGGCACAAGCAACAACGTCAGCTGCGCATTCTCACTCTCATCTCTCCGATGACCCCTTCTCTCTCACTCACGTCTCATTCGCTCCGGTTAAATAGTGCTTGTATTGCACATAGGGGTGTGCGATATATATCGTTTGCAATAATATCGTAATTGTTGTTTTAACGATGTGCGATTTGACATTATCGAGTATTTTGCAAAAACCATGCAAAACATCCCTACAGAGCACACGCATACATTACGTGTAGGCTAGAGTAGTGCGTGTGCGCATTTAGTGTGTTTTCTTTCACTGCATGATTCAGTCTATTAAAATGCATTTAGAATGATCACAAATTCAAGACATGATGGCAGAAAATTAATATATTTATACCACTTCATATAGTTATTCAATTTCACACGAAGAGTGCCGTATGATTACAAATGTGACATTGAATTCAATAAACAATAAGTTAATTAAGAGACTTACGTTTTAGACACCATATTGCTTGTTTTTGCTCTATTTCGCCAACAAAAATCATTCCGAATACAGCCACTGTTTTGTGTCTCTGAGCAACATGACGGTGTTTCGTTCCTGAATGAATCAACCGTTTAAATGATTCGGTTCAATCGCAATGACTCGCTTATTAACAGTGCTTTGCTGCCACCTGCTGGTGGTTTTCATTTCACATTTCTGCTTTTTTTTCATGTTTTAAATTATTTCAAATATCGGTATTCAACGTTTTATGTTTAATATATCAAAACATTATTTATGCATTTGTAACTGCAGGTTAAATGCATTCATGTCTTGCATTAAACAAAATACATGTGTGTAAATACATCTAAACGCCACTTCAAGTGCAGCTTCTGTGTTGATTTAATTTGCTTGGTAACAGCCCAAATGTCTTATTAATCTAATTCCCTGATTAAATGTAAGAATTTGACTCAAAAGATAATGGACACTTTTAGAGAAAATGGCTTTATAAAAGGTAAAAATGCCCATAAAATGCAAAAATCAGTTTAAACTTATTGGAAAAGATTAATTTCTATCAGTATGAACCGACCACCACACAGAATATGAAGAATATTAAAAACTTTAGGAGCCAGCTGTCTTCGGCAGTCCTTAAGATACCAGCACAATAACACACTCAGCAAAATATCGTCTAATTATCGTTATCGATAAAATCCCAGAAAATATCGAGATATAATTTGTCAATATCGCATACCCCTAATTGCGCATTATAATCATTCCTGCAGGTTTCACGCTTACACGAAACGCTCGCACACCAGAACTGATCTATATTAGTGGAGCGCACAGTCCGCGCTCAGTCTCAAACAGCTTGTGAGCCACAAATACCAAAATGAGTGGCTAACTGCGCTAAAACATTCAAATACATACAAAATGATGTCAAAATGTCCGTCTTGGCGAGTATCCAGTTAAACACAGTCAGTTTTGGAACGTTATATAGTTGAGAAAGAGAAACAGTATATTGAGTCCGTGGATAAACTCTTAAAGGGACCGCAGTCCAATATTCCTGCTGCTGTCTGTCATGTTAATCAAAGAACCAAAGACAAAGAAAATCACTTTCTGCTCTTGACTGAATACGTTTTATAACTTTAATGGTACGCATTAATCTGTATTTAATTTTTACAATGAAGACTAAAGAAATTAAAGTAATCAAATGTAAAATAACACAGGTGTCTTACCTGAATAAAAACTTACTTAACCTGAAAAACTTAGTTTCATAGCTCTCTTTATTCTATTGCATTTATTTGTGCTGTTGTTTGCCTTTTTTTTTTATTACTGAATTTTACTTGTTTTAGAAAAGCAGATTTTTTGTTTGTGTATGCTGTCAATTATAGTTCTTAGAAATTACACACATTTACACACACTTACACTCACACATTTACACACACACACACACTTACACATTTACACACTTACACTCACACATTTACACACTTACACTCACACACATTTACACACTCACACACATTTACACTCACACACACACACACACACACACACACACACTTACACTCACACACACACATTTACACTCACACACACACACACATTTACACTCACACACACACACACCTCTCACACACACACACTTATACTCTCACACACACACACTTATACTCTCTCACACACACACTTATACTCTCTCACACACACACACTTATACTCTCACACACACACACTTATACTCTCACACACACACACTTACACTCTCACACACACACACTTATACTCTCACACACACACACATTTACACTCTCTCACACACACACACACACTTACACTCTCACACACACACACTTACACTCTCACACACTTACACTCACACTCTACACACACACTTACACTCTCGCACACACACTTACACACACACACACACACTTACACTCTCGCACACACACTTACACTCTCTCACACACACTTACACTCTCACACACACGCACGCACGCACGCACACAGTCTGATAGCAGGAACGTGGTGACGCTTATTACGTGCATCTGCGTCCCCGTATGACCTGCATGTTTCAGGCAGACGAACTCAATGCACGCCAGAGACTTAGCAGCTGCCTTTATCATCGCCAACAGAAAATTCTGAGTACATTTAGAGAGAGAAAGAAAAATCTAGGACTCTAGGCTAGTCAGATTCGGTGACATAAACCAACAGGCAGCGTCGACTGAAGCTAACTAACGTTAGCATGAGGCTAAACATTCAGGCTACAGATGGAGATAACCTGACGCAGCCATAAACACACACACACACACACGACTCCAAGCTGCATACATGTACATATCAACAGAACCCCAGCAGAATATGTCACACTGATTCAGGAGAATCTGTTCTGTTGCTGCTCTCCGGAAGCTGGAGAAGAAAAGCTCGACACGTACCTGAGCACCGCGTCCTCTTTGCTGCATTTCGCGGGCGGCGAGAACGCGTTTCTTTTGTTGAAGAGTTTATGAAATAACGTGGGGGCCATAATGGACCCACAATTCTGGAGTTTTTGTGTTTAACTCTCGAGCCACACTCGACTCCCGCAGACGGACTCCATTTGTGGGCCAGTCATATGACTGCCGTTAGTCACACGAGCTGCTTGGCAACGCCACTGCTCTCTGATTGGTCGAGTGTTCGCTGCGCTCCCCTCCGCTTTCCTGATTGGCTGATATTTTGGTTCGTGGACCACGTGGTCAGAATGGCTGTGTTGATGTTTTGGAAGCTGTATTTCACACGAAAACATTAAAAGAAAGATCAAATGCACAATAAGAATGTTCTTTATTCGTCTTTTAGTACGCATACATCTTTTACCTAAACATCTCATTTAAATAATTTAATTTGTAAAGCTCTCTTTCCATTTAAAACCTATATTTGGCATGTACACATCTATTCCACAATCACTGCAAGGCATTGTTGCTTTCTCATTTTGCTGACTGTGCATTAAAATCATCAGGTAAGTTCTTCTCGATTCAGCTCTTTGAACGGTCTCGCTCCAGTGCGCACGTGTTCATCCATCTCGAGGTCTTCGAAACACTGCATGGCCATTAAACTCACACACTAATGTTTGTATTAGCTTTAAGCAGGTGTTGACTGCCCTCTGCTGGTCAGAGGCGATGATCCAGTAATCTTGTGAGCAAGACTGAAGTCCTCAGACAGAGGTTATCTAGAAAGAGCACAAATGCACACACAAGGAACATGAATTCCATTTAGATTTGAAAAATGTCAATACGGGGAAATGAGACAAGAAAATTACCGGTTTGGCAGGAAACTTAAAGGAGCGTGTTTGTTTCAGTCTCTGGAAAAAGGCTTCTCTCTCACGCTCATTTGCAAAGTCAAAAACCGTCACAGGCCATGAGGAAATGTCTCTGGGTTCCACCGACACGCTTCCGCTTGCGTGAACCGGCTTTACTCCAGAGTCCTGCTGGTCTGTTTTACCACGTTTATGGCTCGATACATTCCGAATGCTCACAATATCGCTGAACGTCACTTTTCTGCATTTTATTGGCTTTTCCTGTTCTGCAAAACACTGAAAAGAAAGGGGTTTCTCGTTATCCTGTTGAGGTTCTGCTGTATGTACAGACACAGTGACCATCAGGAGCATTCCTCACTTCTAGTAGAATGCAAGAGGGAAGCACTTATGAATGTGACCATACATAGGCATAATATGAAAGACGTAATGCAGTATTAATCACCTTTTTCACAACAGGGGAAAGAACTACAACCCTAGTATTCACAGGTGTTCTCTCATTAGCTGATTTGAACACACATCCTGCAAACAGCAGAAACAGAGCTTTATTTCATTTTTTAAAAAAACAAAAAAAGAAAGTCTACAGTATTTAAAACTTCCACGGAGTGAAACTCAAGTACCTGATGCAATATCTGATGCCAAGGTTTCAGAGGGCACACGTAAAGGAGAGAGGCTGAGAAATATATCATTAAAGTACATTCTTTGTGATGACCTTCAGCACATATTATACAGTGCTTGTCAAAGGTTTGGAAACATTACGATTTTTTAATGTTTTTAATGAAGTCTCTTGTACTCAACAAGGCTCAAAATAAATTACAATTACAATTTTAAAAAAAAAACATTTCTATTGTAATATATTTTAAAATGTAATTTTTCCCTGTGACGTGTGTGTGTTTAATAGAAATGAATGCTTTTTATTCAGCAAATATGAAAAATGAGTGAAAATATTTATAATGTTACAAAAGATTCTATTTCAAATAAACGCTGTTCTTTTGAACTTTATTTATCAAAGAATCCAGAATTTAAAAAAATAAAAATTCCACAAAATATTAAGCTGCAAAAACATTGATAAAAATGTAAACCATTATTAATAACTGATCATCAATAATAATTAAGCAGCAAATCAGAATATTATACTGATTTCTGAAGATCATGTGACACTGAAGACTGGAGGAATGATGCTGAAAATACAGCTGCACATCACAGAAATAAATTACATTTTACAATATATTCACATAGAAAATAGCTATTTCAAATGACAATAATATTTCGTAATATTACTGTTTTTACTGTATTTTTAATCAAATAAATGCAGCCTTGATGAGCAGAAGAGACTTCATTAAAAACTTTTTAAAATCATGTTTCCAAACTTTTGACAAGTACTCTCTCATATATATACACATACATACATAAAGTGAGTGAGTGAAGTGACATGTGGCCAAGTATGGTGACCCATACTCAGAATTAGTGCTCTGCATTTAACCCATCCAAAGAGCACACACACAGCAGTGAACACACACCCGGAGCAGTGGGCAGCCATTTATGCTGCGGTGCCCGGGGAGCAGTTGGGGGTTTGGTGCCTTGCTCAAGGGCACCTCAGTCGTGGTATTGAAGGTGGGAGAGAGCGCTGTACATTCACTCCCCCCACCTACAATCCCTGCCGGTACGAGACTCGAACCCACAACCTTGGGTTATGAGTCCGACTCTCTAACCATTAGACCACGACTTCCCCAATACATACACACACACACACACACACATATATATATATACACACACACATACACACACAATTTGAATAGTCTGTGTATATATGCATTTATAAAGGCCTTACCAAATAGGTGACAAAGAAAACGATTTCTCTTCAGCAGGGTTTAATGATAGTTCTGCATAAAATAAATGTCAAACAGCCTTTCATATTGACAACACGGCGCTAAAACATTTGTGTGAAATGCATCAGCAGTCGCTGCATTAATAGCAGCTATGAATGATAAACAGCCATGACATACCGAGAATGGAGGAGAGATTTGGAGGCTGCTGCAGCGCTAACTCCTGCGCATGGCTGTGATCTAGAAGAGTTGAGTTTTTCACGGTGTTCATCATCCCATCTTCATCAAGTAAGGCTGTCCCCTCATCTGAGTGTCATGAGAGATACCCAAACAGTAATGTTCACTGAAAGCACTAGAAAGTCAAATATTGCATCTAATGATTTCTTCCGAGACACACTCAGACATACATTTTTGGCTGAACTAATCTTCTTTTAATCAGAGTTCTAAAACTAATTATACCATAATTGTCAGTTTTGCGAAACTCCTCGATGGATGAAAGCGTGGAGTCCGTGTTTGAAGCTGGAGAATCTACATCCAAGCAATCCAGCAAGAAGCTGGAAACACCAGAGGGCATCGTGAGACCTGGTCAAGAACAGAGAACAGATCTGCATAGGTCCGTGAGGAAATATAACCACTCAAAGCATTGAACAGGGCGCTTCAAAACCAACTTGTGGAGTCCTGGCTGAAGTCCTTGGAGGCACTGGGAGTCGACATGCCCTGCTGAGAGCAGAGGAGAGTTGTTACACTACTAGACACCATATGGCTGTCTGCAGACCCAGTCTGACTCGTACAGCTTGCAGACTTTAGACTCATTCACACAAACTCCTTGTTAGAGCTCAGCAGTGATATCAGAGCGCTCGTACCTCAGCATGACCTCTCCTGCATCCTGAAATCAACGACTGGCCATTCAGACATCTTCCACCTGCCTTTATAGCTCTGGAACTGAAATTCGCAGAATAAAGAAACACATTTATCGCATTAGTAGCAAACATGATGCTCATAACCATCTTCCACCGTGCCAGTGGTTTAGCTCATGAATATTAAGTAGTTCATGCTGCCTCGCATGATAATGTTCCACATGTGTATGCGAGACTTGAATGAGGCTGCACCCAAAATCACATATTTGCTTTAACTCAAAATATGACTGCTTTAAAATATGAGACACCAATATTTCAGGACACATGCTTATTCGATAACGGTTTTATTTCCTATTTGGGTTTACGTATATGCTTTATTTTTTTAAGATTAACTTTTTTTCCCCAAGGCATTGTTAGATGCCAGTGTTTCTTGTCATAACTATGCAAAGATTTGATTTCAAAAACAGCATCATAGCCATTAAACTATATCTTATGAATTTAAATCTGTATTTAACCTCACAACGATCTCAAAGTAAAAAGCGGTGCTAAAGTCGGATTTTGTGGTGGCTGTGCTTTAAAATTAAATGTTTATCATCTTAATTCAAGTGATGAAGGATTTTGAAAGTCTGACAGTAATTAGTGTTGAGCACTACTGTAATGTTAATAAAGTGATTGGAATGGTTACACTACTTATTACATTTTAAATAGGGTAATTTGTAATTTCCAAAGTAACCTTCCCAACACTGGCAACAACATTGATGCAGCTCAGATCAAATCAGATCATTACGCAAAAACAGGAGCAGAGTTCACTGCATGAAACTGGCAGATCAAAATAGTTTGAGAAGTGAATCTGGACAGGGCTTGCTTGTTTGTTTTTAAAATAAAAAAATATATATTTTTGGCAAATATAAAAGCCTTTTCACACCAAAAGTGAAACGAATGCGCCTCAGGCTGAAGGGAAAGTACATCCACGTCCGTACCGTAGAATGCAGAAGAAGAAATATCAACACTCTTCAGCAGAATAAAAAAAAAGACACAAATGTTCGTCTAGAGTAATTTGTGCTTATTAGTACGGCTGACCTGGATCACCGAAGCTCAGAAGCATATAGAATGGGATTAAATACATAAAGCATATTTGTGTTGTTTAACAATTAATTATTGCAGGTTCGATAATTCGATTAATTAATCATAATCCGAGTTGCATTATTTTTATTCATTTTGAGGAATACTGAATCTGTGTATTTTGTGTGTGTGTGTGTGTGTGTGTGAGATGATTTAATGCATATTCATATTTATTTTAACATCTGATTTCTCTCAACATGTGGACAGGAGAGCTGTCAATCACTAAATTGGGGGGAAAAAAGTAACTTGCGTTACTTATTTGAAAAAGTAACTTCGATATTCTCTTGTAAATTAAAAAGTAATGCGTTACTTTACTAGTTACTTGAAAAAGTAATCTGATTACGTAACTCGCGTTACTTGTAACGCGTTACCCCAACACCGTATACGAGGACGATAACCGTGACAGACGGAACTATGCGAGAGAGCGCAGCTCGTCCCGAGGTTTATCTACTTCTCTGCTACAAACTCAAAGCATCTACGTTTTCTCAATTAAAAACAACAACATACTTTTAAGGCGTAGAATATAAGTAGGCAAACTGGGACGAATCCTAAAGCTCTTGTTTGAAAGGCTCACAGATTTCTCTTCATTAATATTCATGATTCATTCACAGGCATAACTTTAGTGCATTTGGCAGAAATCAAACCTGTCTTTGTTGCATCCGTATGCTTTTAACTTCGAAAGCTGGCGAGCGCTGCGTTTAGCCCCATGCCTTTGAAAACCTAGGAGTTAAAGAATGACAAGTTATAACGTGTCGATAAGCAGCGCAGGACTAGAGGTGAACCGCTTCGTACTGTAGCACGGCGCAGCTCTCATCGGCGTCGCGTTGCGCCCGGGGTGTTTTCCACTAGACGCTTTCCTAACAAGCATACTTCAGAAGCTACACTACAAGCGTACTTGAGAAGCTATACTACAAGCGCACAAACCCGAGCTTTAACTGTTGCGGTCGTTAAAGTGGGCGTGGCCTACAAATTAATCGCAGAGCGCTCGAGGAACGTTACCAGGCAACGTTAGTATAAGTCCTAATCACCTGATCTATAAATGTTATCTATTATAGATCAGAGGTCCTAATACATATGAAGCCGTGAGGTAATTAAGCGCTTAGCTGCCATAAAATGATAATAGAGCTGGGAAACCTTCTTCTGTATTAGCCCTTTAAATAATATGAACTGAAATGCTTACAAATGTCATGTGAATAAATTTGCAAACCAATAATTGTGCTGTAGCTGTGAAACACAATCCAGAGACCTTCAGTAAGTGTTGATTCTGCAGGACTGAAGTATTTCAGAGCTGGGAGACTTTGGGCTTGTGTAATATCACTGCTGTTTTCATGTTTATTAATGTTTGTTCATGTTATGCAGGGATTCCCAAAACACTTAAAATAAAATATTCACTTGAAATATCTCGGAGGAAGTTAACATATATCATAAAATATCATGCCTAATCAGCCTCACCAATTTGACTGCTTATGATGCATACTTCTGCACTTTTGAGTAGTGAACTCATTTCAGTTTTATAATTTATACACCCGATTACATTTCATGCATTTACTCGACGCTTTCCTAACAAGCATACTTCAGAAGCTACACTACAAGCGTACTTGAGAAGCTATACTTCAAGCGCACAAACCCGAGTTTTAACTGTTGCGGTCGTTAAAGTGGGCGTGGCCTACAAATTAATCGCAGAGCGCTCGAGGAACGTTACCAGGCAACGTTAGTATAAGTCCTAATCACTGATCTATAAATGTTATCTATTATAGATCAGAGGTCCTAATACATATGAAGCCGTGAGGTAATTAAGCGCTTAGCTGCCATAAAAGGATAATAGAGCTGGGAAACCTTCTTCTGTATTAGCCCTTTAAATAATATGAACTGAAATGCTTACAAATGTCATGTGAATAAATTTGCAAACCAATAATTGTGCTGTAGCTGTGAAACACAATCCAGAGACCTTCAGTAAGTGTTGATCCTGCAGGACTGAAGTATTTCAGAGCTGGGAGACTTTGGGCTTGAGGGCCATTCTGTTCGGCTGCAGTCTCCTCCTTTGGAGGCTCCACTTTGGGCTTGGGTTTGGTGACGATATGATTGCAAGCAGAATACAGCTCCTGTGTAACGATGAAGATATAGTTAGAAGATTCAGTTCTCAAGAGGACATACATGGGTCAAAACCTGCTAAGGGGACTGAAACAACAGGTTTAAAAAGTGATTTTTCATGAGTATTTACAGCAGGATCTGCATTTTCATGGGTTTAAATAAAAGATTTGTGTTATAAGAGACAATAAAGACAACTTTGTGCATCAAAACCACTCCTTACCTAATAAAAATGAACTTGATTTACAAAAAAAGTTAAGTTTGCAACAGTAAATGTTACAGAACGTAACATTTTTGACAAGCCAAACATGTCAGAGAAGTCATGAAATTAGCTTCATTCTGTAAAATAAGTATAATGAGCTACACAAAAACCATTTCGAACATCTCCAAGGTGTTTTATAATACCCAGAAATCAAACATATTCTCACCCCTTACACACATTATCGCGTCCATCATACGCATGCAAAAGCGGACGAGCGGAAAAGCAAGCTCATGCGAAGTCGCTGTGTTCCAAAGTTCGAGTTTGGAGAACTGTGATCTGCGAACTCGTATCAGATTGATACGTCATAGCATGACCTCGTAGCTGAATTAAAAGAATAGAAATTTAATTCTGCAGCTCAGCTGCAGTTTTGACTACGTCATCGTCATCTTTCTGAGAAGGAGAAAATAGCGGCCTGAGCGGCTTAAACATGCTGTTGTCAGAGACCTTAATGTACGTAATACACAAGGAGTTACATAATACATCGTTTTTGTTTTTTTATGTACAAACCACACATTCTGACTAGGATTCTGGCATTCCTAATTTGAATATTTTCAATAATTTTTCCTAATTTTGGCGATAGATTAGAACTGTTAAATGAGTGTGAGTCCATGTAGTCGTCCAATTTAACTCTCATATGCTGACATTTCTGGAACTTGACGGGTGTTTTTAATATAATGTAGTTTGATCAGTATCTTCTCACTATCATTTTACAATAAAACATAATACATTTTTACATGATTTGTTACATTTAAGTACCCCTTAGCTGATTTTGAGCCATACGGATAACCAAAATACTAAATGAAGTTTGTACCTTTGTTTTGGCCTGAATCTCTTGAGCTTTAACCACAGGGTCCTGGCTGAGACCCTGTTTGCTTTGCAGATTCATTTTGTTGTTCATCCAGGTCATGGTTTCATTCACCTGCTTGTCCACCTTCATCATCTCCAGCTCATCCAAATGATCATACAGCTCATCCTGAGTTTAGAGATAACAAATAATGTGATTCATCCAAATGTTTTCAACAATGTTACCCTATGAAAGAAACTAATGGGGTTTAAAAGACACTTAAAAGGCAGGGTAGGTTATCTGGTTCAAAACATTTTTTTGTTATGCTGGTTGAAAGTCTCTTCACATCCCAACAGCAATCACTAATTTAACTGGTCTAAATGTATTTATATGGTCTGTGGAAGTCATAGCACATAAAATGTTCGTCCAATCATATCTCTCAGTCCGAGGGCTACGATAGGCTGTCCTACCTGCCTGTCAGTGTATGTATTTGCAAACCTGCATGCACCCGGTTCACGCAGACATGCTGCATCATCAGCGCTTTCCATTACGCTACTGCAGAGCGAGCGAGAATGGCAGCCGTTATCATAATTTTTTTGCGACATGACGTAATCTGACAGCGTTGCATTCAATCCTCCACCAACACCATCTCTCATCATGTCGCTGCCTGTATTTTAGAGGAGGCGTGGCTTTGGAGAGTGATTTGCAGGGAGGGTGAGATCTTATGCATTCAAAGCTAGCGTGCTATTGCTAGCCTCTCCGAAATCACCTACCCTACCTTTAATATTCAGTAATTTTATCGATTCAATTGCACTGACATATTGGATGAAAACAAAACAAGCACTAACTTTGACGGTTATTGAAATTAACTAAATCTTGAGCTGAAAAAAAAAGACTTGTCTTTTTGTAGAGCTGCTTTTCAGCTGAAGTTAAATGTTTCAATTTAACAATATTATTACTTTTATTTTACGGTTTGCTAATGTGAAGCTGCTTTGAAAAAGTCTGTATTGTATAAAACGCTATATAAATAAATGTGACTGGACTTAACGAGTGATTACCTTGGCCTTATAAGCCTCGACGACTTTCGTGTACTGCTGGATTTGCCTTCCGAGCTCATCCAAAGCTTTTGGCCGCTCCTCTGCCTCCGTGTATCGCTTCTGAATCGGCTCTCCCAGTTTCTAGGAGCAAACGTTTTTTTTTTTGTTCATTCTTTTTAAAAGGTTGACGATTTCAAATGTCAACAAATCAGTCACACCTACCTTCAACTCCACCAGTTTATCGATGTATACTTGCTTCTGCTGGTCCTCTCCTTCTTCATACAACCAGTTTTCAGTGTCCTCCAGTTTCAAGGAGAAAGAATCTCGATCCTGAATTGAAAGACGTTGCTTAATAAAAACCATCACTTATAAACACAGGTATCTTTATGAATGAAGGCAAATGCATGTAGATACTCACAGCCTCGCTGACAAAGTTCTCCAGCACTCCGTGCAGTTTGTCTCTCATTTCATAAACATATTCCTCCACATAGTTCTTTGCATCGTTTCTTTCTTTCTCCAGCTTATCCTGCATAATCATCTTCCCCTACAGGCAAGAAAACACAACGTCAGCAACCAACTCTAGAAGAGGCGCCTGGATTGGCAGACAGTCATTTATCAGTGTTCAAGTGTTTAAATTATGTTTATTTTAGATTTTTATGATTTAATTAATTGTTCATTTTCACTTACAAATGCACTGTAGTTCTTAAATTAAGCCCAGTTCAGGAAACACTGGTGTAATGTAATGTTCAATGCATTTTATGATGTTGATATAAAAAATTGGAATATATTTTCTTTCTCTTTGCTTTGTTATTTCTATGTTACATTTAATGGTAAATTAGATCAAAGGTAATTTATAATAATAACCTAAAATGAGTAACCTTGATTAAGTTACTAACTACAGTTATCATGTAATCCGTAATCAGTAACAAACTACAATTTGTAAGTAATCTACCCAGCACTGATTAAGTCATTTTTATATTCCAGTAAGCTTTATCAAGCAATATGAAGATGAAAAAAGAAGAAAAGTTGCTTGATTTTAAAAGTGACTTTTGTGTGAGTGGTGTTTCATGCACATACAAAAGGGAACAAATCCTTCAGTGTTTCCCCTAAAGCTGCACGATTAATCGTCAAAAGTCTGCAATCTCGAATAAAACCCCCACGTGATCTTATTTCTAAATGTCAAATGTGTAATAGACACAGGCAAATCGTTGTCAAAGTCATGCCGAAACATTCAAATCTGCGTTCGCGCTGCCGAAACAGCTTCACAAACAGCTTCTTTTCAACGACACAGTCATTCATATTAATCACAGAAGTACTGGGATAAAGGTTTATAGTTTGGATATAAACACTGACGTCTACTGTAGCAATCCAAATGGAGTAAATCACCTTTTAAAAAGTATTTAGCTCTTCAAATAACGTTTGAGTTGATTGACACTAGGTGGCGACAATTGACTGTCATTGATTCATTCATTTTAAAGATTCGTGCAAAAACACGGATTCATCCAGTAATGAAACAAGTTAAGTATTTATGAGTGAATCATTGAATCATTCATTCAAACCAATTTTTCTTAAATAATTCATTCAAATTAAACATTTTAATAGACTGCAGCAATTACAGCCTCTAGTAAATTACATGTTATTTTACTTTAGTTCAGAATCGTGGGAGAATCATGATCTCTTTTTGAAACAAATCGTGCAGCTCTAGCTTCTCCTACAGAACGCTAATCAGAGAAACTGATCGCTGTGGTGTGGTTCGAGTGCTTTGCGCATTGTGCCGTACCTCATTCTCCATGAACAGATTGAGCGCTTCACCGGCCAGCTGCCAGTTCAGGCTGTTCTCGATGGGCAGATCCACTGTCTTTGTTTTCACTTTGGCTTTCTTGGCTTGTGGAGGCTGTTCATTCTTCTTCTCCTCCTGTTTGTTGTCTTCTGTTGAAGTCTAAAAGTCATTATAGTTAGTTAATTTCCCATTTTTCATTGCAAACATTGTGTTGTAGAGCAGTGGTGGGTTGTGGGTTTCAAAGGGGAAAAAAAGGCTCCCATATCTGTGTTACTGATGTCAAATTGTGTCCAATCAAACTCTGTTTTACCATTAAACAGGCGAAGTGATGCAGTACTCCAACGCATTATGTCTGTTTAATCAATCACATGACTCTTCCTGTACTGTGTATTTTGGTCAAATCAACATTTATTTGTTTCTCTCAAAGTTTTCCTCTCCACCTTATGGAGTTATTTCTCTAGCTACAGATCTCCAGTTCACCACTGCCACTTAAATCTTCTGTAAAGCTGCTTTGAAACAATGTGTATTGTGAAAAACACCATTGAAACTATGCAACGTTCAAAGACTGTCCAGACTACAAAGCATGACAATCACAACAATGTGTTTCCTGCAGTGAATAACTGGCTGTCGAGAGTCTGAAACCAACAAATTACAGTTATAAACCAAAATTGCTCATTTTTCCTACCAGTGTCATTTGAATCATTTTGTATGAAATCGGACCAATGCAGTTCACTTTTGGTACCGTGTTGGGTTGCCAATGCAAAATTTGGGTCTTCTCAAACATAAGCCTGGTATAATATTCATATGAGGGCACATACAAGCTGTACAATGCCATTTAAAAATGACATTTTTGATTTTATGTCCCTTTTTTCTTCCTCGGTTTCTTTTACATTATTTAGATATTTCATATGACAATAAAATACAAATAATAAAAGCATCAGTCTGTCAGAAGAAATGAACTTTACATGCACAACAGGCAGGCTGCAATTGGAAACGCATGCTTTGTATTTGTTGAAATGCTGTATATTTGGTGTTGGTGTGCAAGTGTATTCACACACCTCCATGTCTTCAGTGTCTGATTTCTTATCAGCATGTTCTTTCTGATCATCCCCTTGAGCCTTCTGTACTTCCTGATCCACTTGCATCTTGTTCTTTAAGGAGCAAATACAATGAATGTTCACAGGGTCTTGTAAATGGCTATGGCCACAAACACACTCGAGCTTTAGGAGTCATATTGAATGGTCCTATAAACTTTTGTTTTTGCATCTCACAAGTGTAAATGTATGGAAGATTATTTCCACCACAGAATGAAAAATAAATTAATAATAATAGCAACTGCGACTTTTTAGGCTCACAATTCTGACCTTTCCCCCCCTACCCCTTCACACTTTTGAATCCAGTGGGGGGAAAAGTCAGAATTTTGAGTTTAGAACTTGCAACTGCAAGATACAAATTTGCAATTTTGAGAAATCTAAATTGTGAGAAATTTGCAAAGACCTTATTTTTTTATATATTTTTATTCTGTAGCAGAAATGAGCTTCCATATAAGCTTCAGTTATGGTTATCAATCTCAACAGTATTCATTTCAGGAGAGACTCCTGTATTCTGTACACACGCAGAACGACAGTAAGAGGATTCCCTTCCACGTTTAAATTTTTTACTAATGCTCACAAAACAAGTCACATTTTTACAGCTAATGCTTTAGAGCTAACTGCTCTGCGCCAAGTGGATCCCCTGATGTGATGGGATAGACAAAACCATTAGAAATGCCATCAGCAGTGATGACTTTACCTCATCTTCTTTGGCTGGAGTGTCCATCTCCATGGGTTCCTCTCCCTCAGCAGACTTCACAACCTCCACCAGTGAGGCGTTGGACACACTGAAGACCCCGTGCACATTCACACGCACCTTCACCTTCACCTTGGAGCTCTCGCCTGACGGCTGAGGCACCACCTTCTGGATAGTAAACTGGCCTGCGGGCAGGCAAAAATCAGTCAATAGGGTTGCACAATTAATCAGAATCATGATTTATGGTTCTCTCGATTAAGCATAATCGTCTGTAAAGCTAGCTCGCTGATTGAATCCTGAAAACATAGTTTTTTATTTGACATTTATATTATCTTGCATTGATAACAAGCCTCCACAAGCTTTCTTGCTTGGGATTGCCAGATATCAAGAGATTAAACTCCCAATAATGTATGCAAACTCTTAGATGGACTTTTTCAGCCCATCTTCACAACCTGGCAACACAATCATCTGGAGCGCACACACACTCTCTGCACTGCAAAAAATGCACTGATGATTTGAAAACATTGACAAACAAGTATGTTGAAGTTTAGCGATCTCCATTGCGCTTCCTTCACAGGGCCGCTTGTGCAGTTTGCTGCGAATAAACCTGTGAGCAAACCTTCTCAGTGATGAACTGTATTAAAGCCAAACATGAATCTCAACTATATTGTTTGCGACTGTGGTTGCTGAATCAATGCACTTACACTCTATGCTACATTACAAAGTCTTTAATGGAAAATCATTAAACGATAAAAATAAATTGCAAATTAAAAAATGTTTACAAATGCACGTACTGTGAAATAAAATGCAACCTGTTTGTTTGTTATTTTCACACGTTATTAGAGTAAAACAATAGGCTTCTGAATATGATTTTGTTTTGTGTGGACTAGTGTAATGTACTAAATGAAGCAGTACTGTGCAGAGCATTCCCAACACACCTATGGTAGGATCCGGATATGGCAACTCTTTGGAATTGTTGTAGTAGGCCTCTAAAGAGAAAGGCTCCCTCCGGTAGAAAGTTAACACTTTAGAGAAGGGGGCGGCATGGTTCTTCGGGAAAACTTCGCAATCACTGCAGTGCAAGACAGCATGTGACTTTTAAAACAGTGAACTAAGAGTTAATCACGACACACACAGAACCAAGAACGCACCTGATGCCTTCATCAGCTGCTGAGGTCCACTTCAGAGAGATGGGGTAGGGAACCACTTCTGTGATGGAAAACTCGCGCACTTTGAAGGCGGGCGACAGGATTGCACACTGAGGAACAATAAACATTAGTTTGCAACACTAGGAAACACTGTAGGCAGTTATTATGAGAAACAACAGAAAAATTAACTCTGGTGTTGTACTGGTGGTACAAACCATCACAGGAAGTTATTTTCACAATTCTGTGATTACAAAAGTATTTAATCTGATAATTATACATTGAAGCTGTTTAATATCATTTTAAATGTAGCTACTTGCATTTTGTTAGTAGCCTGGTAGGGTTGCACAGCCAGTTCTTACTTAAATTGGAAAGTAAATTTCACACTTAAGGCTTAATAACTACTAGCTCCTTTGTAACTCTGTACTTCGTTTGGTTGCACCATTTGTTCTAGTAACGTGCAGTCACAAAGAAGTTTACAGTAATGATCCAACAGCACGCTTCAGATCTATGAGTAGAATTGACTATTTCAGTTTATCCGGTCCTGTTCTCCGTGTACAGTGTACAGTGTTTAACAGTCGGTCTGTGAGAACTGACCGTAGACAGGAGAGCAGTCCTGTCGCTGGACACCAGTGATCGAAAAACAGATTACGGAGTGCACTGTTAGTTACAGCGCTTACTTCCTTTTTATTCATATTGCTACCAATTTCATTATTTGTGGTGGGGGAAAAAACGTAATAGAATCACTTTATACCATGGTCTGTCTGAATACTGGATTCTAATTGGCTGGCAGGTATACATTAAAACTGTTTAATGCACAGGTAGTTCCAAGTCAGTTTAATCATCGTTCTATATTAACGCGCTGCTTTCATTGATGCACACACACAGAAACATTTGTGAGTACAGAAACTTGTCGTTAACGCTGCTCCGCGACTTTTATTAATAAAATAGCTTTGATACTAAATTATATTTCTCAGCAACAAGGAGGTAAACACGCTGTTTCTGAAGTAACTAAACCGCTTCATTGTTTGTAGAGAGAGACGCACAGATGCAGGTATTTCACACACACAACTTTCATCTCTCTTTCTTGATCGATAATTAATTCAAATTAATGCTATAATTTATTAATTCAAATAAATGCGATCTTACACTTACCTATTGCTCATTTCATCTCTGTGTCTGATTTAAAGCGGGCAGAATAATGAGCCATAACTGATGAAAATAGCCGTAATATTTACTGTTCCGGTCAAATATTGCACTGCAAACATCATTAACCGCTTTAACTTGTCAGTGCTGGCAAATGTCCATGGTATAAGCAGGATAATGCATGACTAGTGGTGCATTAAATTAATTTAATGCACTGCTTCGTGTCAGGTGGTTCATTGCCTCCATGCCGTGCATTAAATTAGTAAATTACAGCGATGGATTATCCCTTAATTATTTTACAGATTTTTTTTTTTTTTTTTTTAAATCAACTGAATTTTTATTCATTTTTAAATTAAAATTACAGCAATTGCTATGCATGTGTTTACTATCTTTGAATTAAATAGTGTGATATATATCGAGTTTATATCAGCCATGTGCCACTCTGCGCTCTAAGATATCGGCATCGGCCGTCAAAAAGTCCATGACTGAGAACTAACTTGCAGTGCACATCCTCTGGCCACAGCCTCGTCCGCATTCAACGTCGTACTCAGTTCCTTTCCGAAAAATTTGCTGATTCTGTCTTTGATGGCTGGAGTCCTGGAGGCGCCACCCATGATCTCCACTGCATAGATGTCCTCTTTCTTCAGTCCTGGTTATAGGAGGGGGGGGGGGAATCACTACAGTTGCATCACTGCTTGACGGGAAAGACACGCTGCTAAATGCAAAAGCGCTTGTACTCACTGGTCTGTTCCATGATGCTGCGCAGCGGAGCTTCCACCTTGGCCAGCAGCTCGGCACAGAACTCCTCAAACTTGCCTCTGGAACAAGAGAGTCATCAAGATATTATTAGACATGGTATTTTAACTAATTAACCCACTGACATCATAATGCACAAACATCTCCCCATCACAGTTCAGTGCCTGACATCAAGCTCCTAGTTTAGCTGTTGGCATGTGGTTACTAACCTGTTGAGCGTGCCTGAGACGTCGATGTCATTCATGAAGCATTCAATGTTGAGTGGCAAGTCCGAGGAGTTGGCGCTCATGAGTTTCTTCAGTTTCTCGCACTCCTGGTAGAGACGCACCAGAGCGCGGGGCTTCGATCGCACATCCAGCTTGTACTTCTGCGCAAATTCCTCACAGAAGTACTTGACCAGCACTTCATCGAAGTCTTTACCACCCAGCTCAGGATCAAACGCAGAACCCAGGACCTACGTTAATCAGCCAACAGAAGCACTGAGGGTCAAACTGTTGCTACCAATTAGACTGTGCAAAACTACACATTTTAAAAACGGTTTCTTAAGAGTCATTCATATAGCATATGCATGCTCTAAAATAGAACAGAAAGCGGGTGTCGACATGACATAAAAGTAAAACTCATGGAACTAGACATGCATGTGTACATTGGCCAACAATCTGGAGTCCAATATTACTTAAGTAATTTACTTATGTAGAAGTTGTTACAAAATCAGTGCTTTAACCCTTGGGTTTTCCTAATTTAGTTCCCTTGTGATCCTCGGCAGTCAAAACAGACTAAGTGACTTTTTTTTTTCCTAATGAAATTAATGAACTATATTTTGTCTCAATAATATTTATTATTTAATATTTTAAGGGAATTTCATGATGCTAGACAAGTAAATTAAGCAAAGTGTCAACATAATAAAAATATTAGATATATATATATATATTATTTTCAATTAATAGTGTTTAACAAGTCAAACATAATACGGTCAAGATGGCCGAGATACCCGTGTAGTCCAATACTTAAACACATGCGATATGTCAAATACAGACACTTCAATGTATTTACAGATTCATGTTTCACTGAATAGGTTATTTATTGTACTGTGATAAAGCCCAGAACTGTAAGCACTAGCAGAACTAAAGGTGCCAGAATAAACGTGAAATGCATGTCAAACGCTGTCATCAAACGTGAAACAGCCGTGTCGTCATCAGAGCTCAAACTCTTCTTAGCAATTACGTGTCACAGCTATTCTCTGAAATGTTTTTATCTAAATTTATAAAAGCACATAGAAAAATTTAATTATAGCTGATCTCACGAAGCAGATTTAAGCTTGACCCACCTCTAATAATAATAATAATAATAGTGTGATTGAGCATTCCAATCTAAATTCATGTTGTTGTAGTATCATGTATATGCTATTATAATTAGTTAATATTTTAAGCTTTTATTTTTATACTTACTGTTTTTTTTTGTTAAGTGCTTTTGTAATTTTTATTAGCTTTTGTTTATTTTAAATTACTATTCAGGTTTAATGTCACTTTTAAAGGTTTAATTTCACTTTTAGTTTCGGTTTCGCTTTAGTTTTTGTTGTTTTTTTTCTTTCCAGTTAGTAATTTTAGTGCTTCAACTTAAAGTATAACATTTTTTTTAATAAATTCAGTTTAGTTTTTCCATCTAATCATTTTATTTTATGTTTTAATAGTTTTAGATTTAGTTAACAATAATAACCTAACCCTGCCCAGAATATTAACATGCTGTGACGGTTAAGAACGACCACCACAGAAAGTATGTGGAGAAAAAGCCTCACCTTCAACTTGCCCTTGTTAAAGGCACACACAGAGACCTGGTAACCAGCGTGGCCAACATCCACGAACACCACAGTCCTGGGCTTTTCCTCAGGAGCAGGCAGGTCCTGTTTGTAGATCCCATACGCCAGCGCAACTACAATTAAAGTTAACACATTAAACTCTTAAAACTAAAAGTAGAGTTAAAAGAGTCATAAGGAAACACTTATTTGCTTGTATTTTTAACGCTTTGGGTGCTTGACGCAGTTCAATACATTTCTGTTTTGTTGGAAAAGGAATAGCTCAAATATTCAGCATAACTTTTTCCTTTGTGTTTCACAGAACTGATATAGGTCTGGCATGACAATGACAGAGGTTTCATTTTTGGGTGAACTAAATGCATCTGAATTATCTTACCTGCTGTAGTGTCATTCATGAGTCTGAGACAGTTCAGGCCTGCGATCTGTGCCGCATCCATGACTGATCTTCTCTCGGCATCAGTAAAGAAGCTGGGAACCTATGCAAGAGCATGAAAAAAACAAAAAGAAACACTAACTACTCACATTCATTACATAGTAACTACAACACCTAAGAAATAAAAACATGCATAATGCAATATTCTGAAAATTACATCATTGATGTTTCTGGGACTGACAATGGAGCAGAACAAACAGCAAGAGAATCAGAAGTGAGAAATGCTCAACTCAAAATCAAATCAGAGGCGAAAAACGCTGATGTGAGGTGAAGGCAAATGTATTCAAAGCAGAATACATTTTAATTTTACATAAAATCATAATGTTAATATATATAATATCTTAATATCTTCACACCATACTGTCACATTTAGCAGATTAAAGTTAGGGAATAATAGAATTTACATTTTGTGATGATACAAGCAATCAAGCGTTGAGATTCGCAACATAGTATGTATCGCCTTATGTGTATATACTTTGTTTGCCGATAAAATTAGACAGACACATATATATATATATATATATATATATATACACACATATACATACACACAGCTTTACAAAAGTGTACTGTGTGCACGCAGGTTAAGTATGATGTAATATATGTATCTAACTTTTAATATATGGGCAATAATAAAGTTTATATTTCTGACAATAAAACAATCAAGCAGTTGAGATAAGAGTTTCAAAATCTGCCATTAGTACTGAAGTTTGACTCGGTTTGCATGCTTTCATTGTGGTTAGGTTAACAAAAGTGTATTTAACACACACGCCATGTGATTACTTTTAGTATTCGGAATTTAAATCTGCCTTTTCCCAAGTGCCATCTATATGATGTTATTGACAGCCTCATATATCACAGCTCTTACAGAAGATGACCACACCACTCTTTGCATTTAGCAGTTCTAAAGAAGAATATTTTAAGTAGACTTAGAAAGACAGAAGAGGCGTACAGAGATGACGCAGTCTGCCACGGGTTTCTTGAGCGCAGCTTCAGCGGTCTCCTTCAGTTTGTTCAGCAGCATGGCAGTGACCTGCTCAATGCTGAACACCTTCTCCTCCTCCATATACATGACCTGTGGAGACAGACAGCATAACGCACTGTGAAATAGCCACAACTGAACAGAGCAGCTGTTACAACATACGCGTGACTATCTGGCATGATCTCTGCTGTTTAATTAGTCTTACCTTAATACCAGTGGTTCCAGTTGGCATCTGAGCGAGATCAAAGACCAGGCTGGACTTTGCCGCCTGAACATACGGGTCACTAAACGCCCTGCCATGGAATCGCTTAAAACCCTGCACAGTGTTCTTGCAGTTTGTGACCACCTTGTTATGAGAGCAGAAATTACCATTACAACTTCTCCCCATCCATGCAATATGTTTTCTTATTTATTTAAAATAAATAAACATCTACCTGGCTTTTGGCGGCTGCCCCTATCGATCGATTACGAGGACCGAATGACACGAATGACCTGAAAAGAGCACATCATCACACATCAATTTAGAACGATCTTAATAAATCATTGTTCTTGAAACTTTAACTTCATGCTCCTTAAAAGAATAGCTTTTAAATTGCTGAAAATGTAAAGGCCATCCAAGATGTAGGTGAGTTTGTTTCTTCATCAGATTTGGAGAAATGTAGCATTGCATCAGTGTCTCAGCAATGGCTCCTCTGCAGTGAATGGGTGCCGTCAGAATGAGAGTCCAAACAGCTGATAAAAACATCACAATCCACACCACTCCAGTCCATCAATTAACATCTTGTGAAGCAAAAAGCTGCGTGTTTGTAAGAAACAAATCCATCATTAAGGCGTTTTAACTATTTTTTAACCAAATACCAAAAGTCCATTATCCATGATATCGCTTCCTCCAGTGAAAAAAGACATCAAAATCCCATTTATTTGTTTAGAGCTGTTTGTTCTTTGGGTTGTAAACGGTGCTTGATCTGTGCAGATTTATCTCCTGATTCAAACCAAACGACTTTTTCACTGGAGGAAGTGTTATTATGGATTTATATTTTAGCTGGAAACAATGATTCAAAGTTAAAAATGTCTTGATTAATTAGTTTCTTACAAACATGCAGCGTTCGGTTTCTCAAGACATTAATTGCTGGACTGGAGTGGATTATTGTGATGTTTTTTTTATCAGCTGTTTGGGCTCTCATTCTGACGGCACCCATTCACTGCAGAGGAGCCATTGGTGAGCAAGTGATGCAATGCTACATTTCTCCAAATCTGATGAAGAAATCATCTCATCTACATCTTGAATGGCCTGAGGGTGAGGAAATTTGCTGAACATTTCTTGGATAAACTATTCCATTAAAAGGCACAGTATGTAAGATTTTTTTATTAAAATATCCAAAAACCACAGTGTTATAGCTCGACTGTGGCATAATAAAAGCTACGCTGCTTTACCCCACATACCCACACCCGGAACCAGCGGAAGCGGTCGACTGTGGCATAATAAAAGCTCCGCTGCTTTACCCCACATACACACGACCGGAAGCAGCGGAAGCGGTCGACTGTGGCATTATAAAAGCTCCGCTGCTTTACCCCACACACTCACGCTCGTTCAGCGCCTCGTTTCGCTTCAACAGCTTTCAGCCTCACCCTGCTTCATTCTACTACATTAATAAATCATTAGCTCATCCATGAACATGATTTCTGCCCGAGTCCCGTCGGATTGCATCGGCTGTGGGGATGCAGACCACAACTCCCATGATTCCACACTCAGTCGCTGCCTCATCAAACTACACCTTTGTCTATTTGTTTATTTTGAATACGCGCCCTCCAGAGGCGAAAATTACATATTGTGCCTTTAACTAGCAGCCTAATCTTTCATTAGAGTGGTATATCATTGTTATAAGCCAAGCACATTTTAAACACATTAGACATAGTTACAACTCAAAGCATGATTTAATACACAACAGCACTATTTATTAAGATTTTCTCTTTGAAGTAAAGACACCCCAATTCCAAAAAGTAATTTTATAACTACCAGTGGTGATAAAATTCAAGTTATTTGGATTTGTGTGTTTTTTTTTTCGATTTATAACCTTGTCTGTTTGACTGAGGTTCTGTTCTGTCTTTGAGGGCTCATTTACAGCAGCAAAGCATCAACTACAACACAAATCACACTGACTTCTCTTAGATCAGCTTGCCATTAACTCCTATTAACTCTAGACATTTCCTTGGTGCATCAGAATATTATTTAACACTAGTTAACATGACAAAGTCATGCAAATGCTAAAACGATATACTCGACATAATAATAATAAGAGCTGCATAAGGAATAGCTCTGTCTGTCGGTTTCAGAGCGGCCTTATTAAAATGTGCTAGAATGTTCCTGCGGCGCCGGTGTGACGTCACATCAGCTGCACGAGCCACGCTGTAGCACGAGGCTAACCGACCGTTAACCGCTCTCTCATCACAATGAACAACTGCTGCCGTATTTACAGCCAATATTAATCCGATACCATAGCGATGGGAGTATGTGTTAACCAGCTAGACGCTAGTCAGATCAAATCGAACGACATAATGAAAGAAAACATGCTTCTTTCACGGTCCACGCGTGAATGGCTTGTGACAGGTCAGTTTTACAACACATTCAGTCTTTAAGAAGAGGCAGTATACAACTTACGGTGTACATCGGTCGCTGTATTCGTTCGCTACGGTCTCTATTCCTCCGGCCCGAGCCACAGCAACATAACAGCTCTGGAAGCCAACATCAAATCCCACCACTGACATCTTCACTGGAAATCACAACTAACGTACAGCTAAAATACTGGATACTAGCGAGACGTGTCCTTTTAAAAATATATATAACAGTCACGGAGGCGCGTAGCTAAGCTTGTTATTCCTAAAAGTCGTGTTTAGCGCGATTTCATAATTCTCGATGCAGAGACCGGCTGACTGCTGCATGGAAGGGTAAAGCTGCCGGAGTTCACGTCAACCGTCTTATCGCGAGAGTTCGGGAGTTCTAGATAGCTCTGGAGCTTTCCGTGAGTGACGTAACCGCGACAAATCCAGCCAATCAAGAGCGAGTGTACGTCAGGCTTATCATCTTCAACTAAAACCAAACCCCAAACATTTTTATTACTATAAATAAAATAAACATTAACTAAATAAGATAACAATAGTTGCCAAGGCAGCATTTCTCATTTAAAATATTTTAACATTTAAAATAACTAAAGTTAAATAAAGTTAAAACTGCGAGATATACAAATGACAAAACACACTAAAATTACTAAAACGTTTACTAAAACAGAAAATATTAATATCGAATTTAAAATATTAACAAAAACTAGAATAGTGTCTCAGTGGTACTGCAATAACACTTGTTGGTTATACAAAAACTATAAAAACACTTATTAATAGTGATAATAGTATTATTGCATATTTATTTTGTATTTTAATAAAATATCATCCGTGTGATAACACGATTATATTTAAAAAATAAACTGAGTATAAAATAAAAATGCAGTTATTTTATAGTACACTTAAAAATACAAAGCTAATATTAACTTTTTTATATGAATTTGTCACTTTCAAACCTAAAATCAGCAAGCTTTTATTGTTGCATGCTGCAAGTCAATGTGCCTACTTATACTACGCTCTTAAAGTATGTACTCGTTTGGTGAAGAAAAAGTACACACTTTTGAGTTTGTAGTAGAGCTTTGCTCTGTCACATAGTTACACGCACCCTGTCACTGTAAACTGGCCTGTCAATCATCTGATCACAGTTCACATCCTCCACATTTCATTTAGCTTCCTACCATACTGGAGAGAAATGAAGTAGCACGCTGACCTGCCAGCCGTGGGTCTTTATGCAAAGAACTCTGGTCATATTTTTTGCATAAGTAAAAGTCAAATATAAAGAAAAATAATGCAACCTTTGGTGCAAACGTTGGATGCACTTCAAGTGCTTGAAGGAAGATGGCTCTAAATTGCGTCTTCGTCATTCAATGAGTGGCCTGTGGAAAAATGTGCATTGAAGTGCTGAGTAGATGGTGAGGCTGGGTTCTTAAAAGCTGTCATAATAATGTGCAAGGGTACCCACCATCACCGAGGAGGAAAAAGCCCTGAGCTGGATACTTTGCCTGGTTGTAACTGGGGCTGTTCTTAAGCACCCGTGATTCGTGGACACTCCCGGGGTACCCTACAAAAATGCCCCTCGATGGTCGCATATCCCTCGAAGCTGGATGGAGGCAAACAGCTTTCTGTTTTTATAACACTGTCCATCGGGGCCAGCTGGTGGTTTTATTCTCACAGGGCATCCATCAATGGCTCCAACAGCTTTACCAAATGCCTGGTGATTGGTGAGAGAAGCAAAGCCTGCACCAACCTGGAGCAGGTGTTCTTCTGACTTTGGTAGGGTCACAACCTTTGGCAAAATTGCCATGACTTCATCAGCCACCCGGTGTATAATTGGCTGTGGCATCCCAAAAGCCTGTGACACTACCCTGTAAGATGCACCACAGGCCAGCCAATACAAAAACACCAATGTGTGGAGTGTTGTACCACAGAGCACGCAACCTTCGAAATGAGACACACCTTATCGCATACTCATTTTCAAGGTACTATGGTTTGGGACATACTAACTCTATTGTCAACAAGTGAAGTGACATGTGGCCAAGTATGGTGACCCCTCTGCATTTTAACCCATCCAAAGTGCACACACACACAGCAGTGAACACACACCCGGAGCAGTGGGCAGCCATTTATGCTGCGGCTCCCGGGGAGCAGTTGGGGGGTCGGTGCCTTGCTCAAGGGCCCCTCAGTCGTGGTATTGAAGGAGGAAGAGAGCGCTGTACATCCCCCACCTACAATCCCTGCCGGTACGAGACTCAAACCCACAACCTTTGGGTTACGAGTCCGACTCTCTAACCATTAGGCCACGACTTCCCCAATGTCACAATGTCGCATTGTCGCAAATGAGCGGTATGAACATATTTACACATAGCAGTTTTTTATTTTGGTCGCGCATGCACAGCTGCGCACCACTTATGTGCACCCCTAATTATAATCATTTAGCAGTTTCCAAAATATACAATTTGCAGATGATAATGAGATTGCGCGACTATATTTACGAATAATAACGCAATAATTCGCCTAGATAACACACGACACAATAGGAAACTGACTTTCTGAGTTTTGAATGTAATAAATGTAGTTTTTGAAGTCAATTTCTAAACCACAACTAGCTATCGAGCGGGGAAAAGTGTTTGTGTAATTGTACCATAAAATGTATTGGTGCCAAGGCCTTCACGGTTTATATTGACTTACTACATGTTTACCTTTATAGTCACCTTAATAGAGCAAATAGACTGTGAAAACAGTCAGGCAGATGAAGACTCTCCCAAGCTTTAGATGGCCGGAAGAAGACAGAATAAACCGGAAGACAGAATCGAACGATCGCATCCAAAATGGCGACTCCCATGCACAGACTGATCGCTCGGAGACAAGCGTGAGTTATTTTACACGTTATACGAGTTTGGAGTTGAGTTCTAAACTACGTTTGTAACGTATTCGTTGTGTTAATTATTTCCGTAGTCGTCTATTTGAGTTTGTGTTGTTTTAATATCAAGTTTCATGTCGTTTTGTTATACTCTCAAGGGTCTGTTGTGTTGATCTTCTTGCATCGTTATTCCCGCAGGGAGGCTAACAAACAACATGTTCGCTGTCAGAAATGCCTGGAGTACGGACACTGGTCTTACGAGTGCACTGGGAAACGAAAGTATCTTTATAGACCTTCCAGGACAGCCGAGTTAAAAAAGAGACTCAAAGACAAGGAGAACAATCCTTCGGATGATTTGGGGTTAGATACGCGACAAAACACAAAACGGTCGCACACTTGAGTAGTGATATTGAACGTATGAGTCGCTGATTTATAAGTCAAGGCCCTTCGATGATAACTCTCGTATATATTACGAATGTTTCTAGTTCGGAAATCTCGTGTAGTTCTAATAGGGCCGTTTTTGTCGCGTTTCAATGACGTTCTTTGACGCACAGCGACATCTACAGGCGAGAGCGCAGAATGCATTGCTATAGAATGGAAAACCACTATCAATACAGACAACTTTATTAGTTCCGTTTGGTTTTGGAATAATTCCTACAAAGCCCTGCATTTTGAATTTCTTTTACGCTGGTAAAAAAGGCCTAATGTTACCTAATTTGGAAATGCTGAGTTCTAAAATATCAATAAATGCTTTCCATCACTTTTTTTCCCCGCAAAATAAGAATGAGGATTTCAAATTTTATATATATATATATATTAAGTTTGGGATCAGTAAGATTTTTAATGTATGTTGTATTGAGTGTGACATGCTCGAGCAAAACATGCACTATTTTTGGAATCAGCACCCCAAAATTAGGATGAAATTTATTTAAAGTATTGGATTTGATTCAGCAAATATGATGCAGGGCGGTGTTATTAGTCACATTTAAACTCTACTTTCTTGACACTTTTTAGAGCTGGAATAATACCACGCAGTGAGAAAAAAACTAAGAAAAAAAGGTGAGTCATTGTCTTTTTGGGAACGTCAGTGTTATCTATATAAACATGTTATGATTAATGCACTTTTACAAAGTGAAATTTCACAACGTTATATCTATAAAGTTACTTTGAGGGAACCAATAAACTAATGTTTTTCTTGCATGCTAGGTCTGGTGTGAGTTTAATTTAATTGCACTTGTAGGGGTTTTAAAAATGTTTTGCACAACTATAAAGTTAATAGCATATTAGTTATTTCTGTCCAAAACAATAAACGATTTAGATTCATTGATCATACTCCATTCATCTTTATATTTATTATAGTGATTTTTGTTGTTGTTGTTGGATGATTTCAAAGTTTGAGCACTATGTTTCAGAAGTATAGTAACGAATGTAGTACATTTGAATTAAAGAAACGTTTAGCAGTGTAATATTAATTTGAACTAATGTTAGAGTTGGGTTTTGTATCTGATTGTTTTTGTCATTATTATCTATCGTTACAATTGATTAATTATATAATAATTATTCAATCAATATGTTTATTAATAATTAACAACACCTTTCCATTGCACCTCTGACCTGCAACACTGTTATGTATCAGAGATATATTTCCACATATGAACGTGGCGCAGATCAGAAGCGAAAAAATGTCAGATTTGTTCACATTGCCAACTTAACAACTGATCTGTGCCGTAACGTATTCGTTGTGTTAATTATTTCCGTAGTCGTCTATTTGAGTTTGTGTTGTTTTAATATCAAGTTTCATGTCGTTTTGTTATACTCTCAAGGGTCTGTTGTGTTGATCTTCTTGCATCGTTATTCCCGCAGGGAGGCTAACAAACAACATGTTCGCTGTCAGAAATGCCTGGAGTACGGACACTGGTCTTACGAGTGCACTGGGAAACGAAAGTATCTTTATAGACCTTCCAGGACAGCCGAGTTAAAAAAGAGACTCAAAGACAAGGAGAACAATCCTTCGGATGATTTGGGGTTAGATACGCGACAAAACACAAAACGGTCGCACACTTGAGTAGTGATATTGAACGTATGAGTCGCTGATTTATAAGTCAAGGCCCTTCGATGATAACTCTCGTATATATTACGAATGTTTCTAGTTCGGAAATCTCGTGTAGTTCTAATAGGGCCGTTTTTGTCGCGTTTCAATGACGTTCTTTGACGCACAGCGACATCTACAGGCGAGAGCGCAGAATGCATTGCTATAGAATGGAAAACCACTATCAATACAGACAACTTTATTAGTTCCGTTTGGTTTTGGAATAATTCCTACAAAGCCCTGCATTTTGAATTTCTTTTACGCTGGTAAAAAAGGCCTAATGTTACCTAATTTGGAAATGCTGAGTTCTAAAATATCAATAAATGCTTTCCATCACTTTTTTTCCCCGCAAAATAAGAATGAGGATTTCAAATTTTATATATATATATATATTAAGTTTGGGATCAGTAAGATTTTTAATGTATGTTGTATTGAGTGTGACATGCTCGAGCAAAACATGCACTATTTTTGGAATCAGCACCCCAAAATTAGGATGAAATTTATTTAAAGTATTGGATTTGATTCAGCAAATATGATGCAGGGCGGTGTTATTAGTCACATTTAAACTCTACTTTCTTGACACTTTTTAGAGCTGGAATAATACCACGCAGTGAGAAAAAAACTAAGAAAAAAAGGTGAGTCATTGTCTTTTTGGGAACGTCAGTGTTATCTATATAAACATGTTATGATTAATGCACTTTTACAAAGTGAAATTTCACAACGTTATATCTATAAAGTTACTTTGAGGGAACCAATAAACTAATGTTTTTCTTGCATGCTAGGTCTGGTGTGAGTTTAATTTAATTGCACTTGTAGGGGATTTAAAAATGTTTTGCACAACTATAAAGTCAAAAGCATATTAGTTATTTCTGTCCAAAACAATAAACGATTTAGATTCATTGATCATACTCCATTCATCTTTATATTTATTATAGTGATTTTTTTTGTTGTTGTTGGATGATTTCAAAGTTTGAGCACTATGTTTCAGAAGTATAGTAACGAATGTAGTACATTTGAATTAAAGAAACGTTTAGCAGTGTAATATTAATTTGAACTAATGTTAGAGTTGGGTTTTGTATCTGATTGTTTTTGTCATTATTATCTATCGTTACAATTGATTAATTATATAATAATTATTCAATCAATATGTTTATTAATAATTAACAACACCTTTCCATTGCACCTCTGACCTGCAACACTGTTATGTATCAGAGATATATTTCCACATATGAACGTGGCGCAGATCAGAAGCGAAAAAATGTCAGATTTGTTCACATTGCCAACTTAACAACTGATCTGTGCCACATGAGGAACAAACACAGATTTGGGCCGCTGTGGTATAAAGTAGCACGTAATATAAACAGCTGTTTTCTTTTAGGTCCTCCTCCAGTTCCAGCAGCGGCAGTAGTGATTCGTCCAGCTCTTCCAGCGACTCTTCCTCGGACAGCAGCGGTTCCTCGAGCTCCTCATCCTCGTCTGAAGACAGTAGCAGCGACAGCGATGACGGCTCCAGCCCTTCCTCCTCCTCCTCGTCTTCCTCCAGTTCTGACTCTGATTCCGATTCCTCAAGCAGTTCTGATCAGGGACCTCCAAAGAAGAGAAAGAAGAAGAAATGAGGGTCCAGTTCATCTGATTCGAATACAGAACTTGTCATATACATTGAGAGTACTGACTGTCACTTTGGTATTGAATATGTGAGAAGTCATGTATGCAAAGAAATTGAGATATATATGTATATTCTCATATTTAGTAGAATGTGAAAATCAAACACGTGCACTGTTACATTTGCTTATTTACAACTTTGTTGTCTCTCCATGGCGGAGTGTAGTGGTGTCTCAAACAGTTAAAATACTGCAATTCATTCATAACAACATCAGTTGATTTATTTCACATATTTTTGACCATATATATATATATTTTAAAGAATGACCATGAAGTAGGCTGAGGTGTATTAACATGGTCTTCATTTTAAGATGGTCTTATAAAATAAACTGATTTCTTACAGAAAGAAATGCACCTATTGTGGGACATGATGTAAATGCGAAATTAGCAATATCAAATAATCTGTTGAAAATGTAGCACATCTCATAAGAAAATCACAAAAAATGCAGCCATATGTTTTTACACATTCCTTAATAAAAAACAAGGATGATCAGAATATCTTGAGCTCATATCACTGCAGACTTAACAGTTAGACATTGCTTGATGAAAATACATTTACAACCATTAGTCTGCTACACAAATGTAATGGCAAAATAATTATTTTTATTAAAACTAGGGCTCTCAAATCAGTTAATCGCATCCAAAATAAAAGTTTTTATTTACATGATATATGCGTGTATATATTTAAGAAATGCATGTAATATAAATCATATATATATATATGCATATACACATAAATATTTCTAATCAAAAACGTATTTTGGATGCGATTAATCGATTTGACAGCACTAATTAAAACATTAAATGTTTATACCATAGTCCAGCGATTTAGTTATTGCGTCAAAATGAACGTACACGGAATTAATATTTGAAAAATCACAAAATAGCAATCGATTATTATTATTATGAACCGATAAACAGAGCAGACTGCGCTTGTCGGAAGGAGGGACTTTGTTGTGTTTGAGAGAGGCGGGGCATAGAGGACCTACAATAATGTACAGTATTTGGGAAAATAATGTGTTTTTTGAACATTAAAGTGTCAACAATATTCTGTTACACCAAATACACAAAATAATGAATTTTTAAAAAGCATCATATGACCCCTTTAATATAAGTAGTAGTATATTCTGTGAACTTTTGACCCCCGCACTGTATCTTGTTACTTTTTTTAACTGTGACGTTAGTGCTTCAACGACGTCACGGCGTTACAATGTTTCACCTTCAGCGGAAGTCGCTGGGCGTCACCAACTCGACTAAATGTAAACACGGTCCCAACACCAGTAGCTTGACCAATAGATTTGAAGGATAACCTCGGTTCGGACTAGGTGCTGTTGTGAATACTTCGCATTTGCTTGTATTTAATCGTTTTATTTGGGATTAACTGAGTTAAAGAGCAAAATAAAATGAGTTGTTTAGGTGTGGTATATTTGAGAGTAATTCAGCAGTGTTTGTTGGCTTGATAGTTGTTAGTGTTCTTTTTATTCTGTCCATAGGATGTACTTTTTAGGGCAAATCTATTGCATCATTATCCGTGTTTGGAGACCATTTTAAAGTCCGTAGCTAGAGCAGGAACAAGGCTGCGTTTGGAGTTGCGTACTACTGTAGCAGTCTTCCCATTACTCACTGTGCTCTAGAGTAGATGTGCTCTGTGTAGTATGCACATTTTCTTTATGCAACGAATACTCTGATTACCTGTTTTCCCTGCTGCCCTGCAAAGTGGACCTCGTAGGGTGTTAGCTTTAGTGATTAGGGAGTGTGTATTCTCAGTCCAAAGAGTGCATCAGCGTCTTGCTTTTCTGGACGAGCACCACTTCAGTGCTATACAAATATACACTTGCTGTACACTAAGAGAGGTTTACTAGTGTTCACTAGTGTCTGAATGATCAGGGAGGGATTATACATGGTATGCAGGATGAACGCAAGCCGATTTAAAGAATCTCAAGTTATACATGACAAGACTTTCCGTTAGCATGTGACCCAGAGGATTTTTAGATGATTCAACATCGGAGGCTTTTTACAAGGCATCGCTAATTTGAGCTAACTGGTTAAACCAACTCCTAAAGGTACAGAGTGGGGGGGAGTAAATGACTGTATAGCCTGCTAAGAATCTCTCCCCCCAAAAAAGGTGGTTTATGGTACTTTACGATCAGCGAAAGTTCTTGATATACGCTTCAGTGCTAAACACAATTGAGAAAGCATGCTAAAAAAAAATTGGGTGCAAATAGATTTTCATGTTGATCGTGGCTACTAGGCCGTTGAATGAGAGTATGAAATGCATGGTGAGTTATAAATAAGACTATTGTATTGAATGCACTGCACTGGCTACTGTATCCCACAATGCAATGGTTCAATCTCAGCTTCCATACAGTCCAACAGTAGGGTTCCGGAAGTAAAAATCCGGTTTATTATTTTTTCCATACTGGAACTGATTTTTAACATTAAATTAGAAAGCTTTAAATACAGACCTACTGTGAGCTATGAAGTTGTTAATGAGTGGTATATGCTTTTTTGTCTAATTTCAAATAATCATGTTTAACAGTAGAATTCCTGGTGGAAAACTACCCGTGATTCTGTTTCAGTGCTGAAACTGTTGTGCTGCTTCATATTTTTTGGAACCTGTGATACTCTTTTTCAGGATTCTTTGATGAATAAAAAGTTCAAAAGAACAGCATTTATTTAAAATAGAAATCTTTTCTAACAATCTAAGTGTTTACTATCCCTTTTTATCAATTTAACACATCCTTGCTGAATAAAAATATGAATTTCAATAAAAAAGAAAAAAATGACTGAGCCCAAACTTTTGAATGGTAGTGTAGATTGTTACAAAAGATTTATTAAAAATGAATAAATATGTAAAAGATTTTATTCATCAAAGAATCCTGAAAAAAGTATCACATGTTCCAAAAAAAAATCAAAATATGTAGCAGCACATCTGTTTCCAGCTTTGAAATCAGCTATATTAGAATAATTCCTGAAGGATTGTGTGACACTGAAGACTGGAGTAATGATGATAAATTCAGCTTTGATCGCAGAAATAAATAATAGTTTAAAGTATAGTAAAATAAAAAACATTTTAGAAGATATATTTTAGAAAATGTAATGATAATTTTACACAATCGTACTGTTTCTTTTCTGTATTTTTGATCAAATAAATGTAGCCTTAATGAGCAGAAGAAACTTCTGTAAAAAAAACATTTAAAAATCTTACTGATCCCAAACTTGTGTGTGTGTTTTGCAATAAACAATTTAAAACTTGTTTCTATAATCAACATCTATAAAATAAGAGTTATACATCATCTGCTGTTCTTAATTTGATTGCCATTCGCAATGCTTCATGGGATTGTAGTTCTTTCCCTCACTAAAGCCATTAAAGGGTTAGTTCACCCAAAAATGAAAATTCTGTCATTAATTACTCGCCCTCATGTCGTTTCAAACCCGTAAGACCTTCGTTCACCATCAGAACACAAATTAAGATATTTTTGATGGAATCTGAGAGTTGTCTGACCCTCCCATAGACAGCAACACAACTGAAATGTTCCCAAGTCCAGAAACGTAGCAAGGAGATCGGTAAAATAATCCATGTGACATCAGGGGTTCAACCGTAATTTTACGAAGCTACGAGAATACTTTTTGTGCGCAAAAGAAAAAAAAAACGACTTTATTCAACAATTCGTCTGCTCCGCATTACCCTAGCGCCATTTTGGAGAATATCCGCTGGACGTAAACCGCGTATGCTGTTCTGTGTCAGCTGCGCCACACGGATACACTGTTTTCGTTCAGATCAAATCACAACAACGTAGGAAACCGATCCGGCGCGACGCAGCTGACGACGAATTGTTGTATAAAGTCGAAATAAAAATAAATTAATTGAGTTCATTATTAATGCTAATAATCTTAAAGGAAAAAATATTGGAATGTATCCTTCATATGTTTTTCAATTAAGTATTGCTTTAATAGGGTCAAGTGAAAAATGAGTGGATTCTGACTAACTTGGTCACCTCTGATTGGACACTGCACTGCTCTTCACGGAAAGCGATATAAATATACACAGAAGCATTTGAAAGCAGTTGCCTATCAGTGAGTATTGAATTTAGTCAATACTTGATACTACCAGTGCTGCAGAACGGCCGGTATTGTTACATTTTAAAAATTTCAGTATCAACTTGGTAAAAAAGTACTAATAGCCTATTTTTTACAATAATCACAATTATTAGTTAACAAGTTACTGAATTAATGTTAACAAAGTTGCTTTCCACTTTACTACAAACATTCATCACAAAACTAAATGGCGTCATTCAAAATACTTCTCTTAAAGATGACCACTGGATAGAACGTTAGAAAACATCAGTGTTCACACTGTCAAAAGTCAGTATTGATGCACCAATCTTGATTTTTCATGGCCAACTCCAATAACAATTTAACATTTATTTTATTTTTTAAAGCAAAAGATAAGATAGAATGAAAATATGAGTACATGAACAAGATTTTATTTCCTCTATTACAGGCCAAACTCTCTGTAGCCATTTAAAATGAGAGGCAAACACTGCATTTAATCACGACTACATGAGCAGTTTCTACGTGACGCAGCTGACACAGAATCGCATACGCTGTTTACGTTCAGTGGATATTCTCCAAAATGGCGCTAGGGTGACGCGGAGGAGATGAATTGTTGAGTAAATTCATTAATTTTGTTTTCTTTGCATACAAAAAGTGATGTCACATGGATTATTTTACCGATCTCCTTGCTACGGTTCTGGACGTGGGAACATTTCAGTTGTGTTGCTGTCTATGGGCTCTCAGATTCCATCAAAAATATCTTAATTTGTGTTCTGATGGTGAACGAAGGTCTTACGGGTTTGAAACGACATGAGGGCGAGTAATTAATGACAGAATTTTCATTTTTGGGTGAACGATCCCTTTAAGTACACCAGTCTTGAACCTTTTACTTTTTTGTCTGATTTTTCAAATACTACTTTTAATAATTTATTTATTTGTAATGGTGTGATTCTCCTGCTTCATGGCTTTTAACTCTTTAACAAAGATTTTTTTTAAATCCATATGGGAAAAATAAATGGGGGGGGATACTTCCGGAACCAGTGCTGCTAAAGAAACGGGCACCGTTACGCTGGATTTAAATCCTCCATGACTTTTAGCATATTTTTTTTATTGATTCATTATTTTACCAGACTGTCAAATGTTAGCACATTTTTACACAAACTTCGATTAAAAAATGAA